ATAGTTTGTTTAGTGACCGAAGTTACAATGGCACTGAAAAAAGTGACTTATGGCCATTTTTCACATTCATGACTGTTGCAGCATCCCTGTGATCAAAATACAAATGCTTGGTAACTGACTCACATTGATGACGGTTGCAGTGTCCCTGGGATCATGTAATCACCTTTTGCAACCTTCTGACAAGCAAAGTCAATGGGAAAACCAGGCTCACTTAACCTTGTGACTAACTTAACAACTGCAATGACTCTCTTAAAAACTGTGGCAAGAAAAATTGTAAACGGGGGCAAAACTCACATAACCAATGTCTCGCTTAGCAACAGGAAGTTTGGGCTCAATTGTGATCATAAGTCAAGGACTACCTGTAGTACTGCAAATAAAATTCAGCTCTGAGCAACGCAAGATAAATGACATATAAATAAGATAAAGACATATAAATGTCTTTTTTGTCATTTTGGAGCAATCAAAATTGACTAAACTAACATCTTCTCCATTTACAGAATATCTCTCTTTGCAAGAACAATTTTTACTTGAGCCATGGCCTTTAAATGCCATTTGACCCCCTTTAAAAAAATATTAATGCCTTTGTCCAGATCAACAAGTTCTACGTTGGACATTGAATGTTTAATTTCCAAAAAAAATTCAAAAATTAATTTAATACAGGTAGTCCTCGATTTATGACCGCAATTGAGCCCCAGATTTCCATCAAACAAAGCAATGAGTTGTGTCACGTTTTATGGCCTTTTTTTGCCAGTTAAGCAAATTACTGTGGTTGTTAAACGAATCTGGCTTCCCCCACTAACTTGGTCGGAAACTGGCTGGAAAAGTTGCAAATGGTGGTCACATGAACCCCCAGGACACTGCAGATGCCATACTGTAGATACCATCTTCCAGGCACCTGAATTTTGATCACGTGACCATAGGGATACTGCAACAGCCATGTGAAAATTGGTTATAAGTCACTTTCTTCTGTGCAGTTGTAACTTTGAATGGTTGTAAGTCAAGGACTATCTGTAGAAACTTAAACTGTTCCTGGCAACCCCAAGATTTAGAGTGCTTCAACCTAGCAAGTCTTCAGATGATCTCTAAAAATCTGTCTTTTCTCCCAAGCTCTGGGCTAGATTGATGGTGAGCCCAATGAGATAGTATTCCCTGTTGTGTTTCGATCTGTTCTTAAGTTCTTTCTTTAGCTATTATGCTAGCTTGAATTTTATGCTGGCCAGAGTTTGGGTTAAGTGTGGCTTTATAAAATAAATGAACAAATGAATGAACAAACAAATGACATATATATATCCCCAAAGTTGTAGACAGGAGTATTTTCTAGATAGGTTATCCAGGTTCCTTCAAATTGGAAAGAGTCTGTTTCGGTGGATTCTTGAAATGGAAAGCTCAGACTAAAGATTATTTCTAGACAGAAAATGTCCTTTGAATACTGCTTAGGCAAACACCTTGCTCTATTTTGTTTCTTCCCAGGATGAAGTGTTGTTTAATAACTGGGAGAACCTCTTCTCAGGCTCTGAAGCTCCATTCAGAACTGGGGTTCGCATCCTCTCCTTTGATGGAAGGGATGTCCTGAGAGATTCTGCATGGTAAGTTGGGGCTGAGGAGAGTGATTGAGTTTCCAGTGAACATTTGGGAATGTGCTTAGATTGTAAATTTGTGCTACTTCCTGCCGAGTGGCACAGTATTTTCAAAGGCATCCAAGGTCTCCTTTCTGATTGACCTTTGTAAGCAATAGCGTTTATGTCTCCACTCTATCCCCTTTCCCAGCTCCTCGTGATGCATTTTTAAGACAACAGATGCAGGAATGAGACAAAAAGCTTTGCTTTATGGTATGTTGCCCTTTAGCAACATTTATTTGTGTAATTTGATTCAAAGCAGAGTAGATATGTTTTGTGTATAACCACTATATGGCCCCAGCCTATTTTTTCCCTTTCCCTGGGGATAGGTAATAAGTTTTTCTCAGATTTTCTTTAACTTTATGGCGCATGAGTAGTGATCCCAACAGCTAAGACACTATTAGGCATTGCAAAGCCTACATGGTCCACCAATTAAGGGGGCAGGATTCATGCATCAGATTAAGCCATAGGATGGTTACACTGGTATGAACCTAGCCACTACTCTTAAACTATGATTTATTCCTTATTAAGTTGCACTATTAAGAGCCATGGTGACGCAGGGGTTAGAATGCAGTATTGTACACTAATACTGCCAAACTGCCAGCAGTTTGATCCTGACTGGCTCAAGGTTGACTCAGCCTTCCATCCTTCCAGGGTTGGTAAAATTAAAACCCAGATTGTTGGAGGCATTAGGCTCACTCTGTAAACTGCTTAGGGAGAGCTATAAAGCACCATGAAGTGGTATGTATACCTTAAGTGCTATTGCTACTGACCCAGCCTAGTTGACTCAATTATAGCTAAACAGCAACATAGAAAGCAGTCATAGTGTTTCTGTGTATGAAATGGCCTTGACGTGAAGATATTTTTCAGGCCTCAGAAGTACATGTGGCACGGCTCCGATTCCAAGGGACGGCGACTGACAGAGAGCTACTGTGAGACATGGCGGACGGATGACACCGTGGTGACTGGCCAGGCTTCCTCGCTGGCATCAGGCAAGCTGCTTGAACAGAAGAGCAACAGCTGCAGGAACGCCTTTATCGTCCTGTGCATCGAAAACAGCTTCATGACATCTTCCAAGAAATAGAACCCCTGAATGTGCTGATTGCAAGTGGAGGCGAGGAGTCCAAATGCCCCCCCCCCCCATTCTGCAGTGGTGAGCAGGCAAGGGATTCCTCCCCTTCCACCATCAATCAGGATAATGTGTCCAGCCAGTTTCATAATATAGCAACCAAGCAGATAAATGGACAGGAAAGCCAAAGAGCGTCTTTTTATGATTTCCAACACAGATCTGATGCTGTCTGTGTGGTTTTTTGTTGTTGTTGTTGTCGTCTCCTCTGAGCACATTTGCTGGAGGGGCTCAGGCAGAGCAGGATTTGTGTGCAAGGCAGTCTCCATCCAGGCAAGTGCAGCTCCCAAAATGATTCTGTCTCTCTCTCTCTCTCTTCCCTGCTCGTATGTAACATTTCATGTTTCCCTGATCACCTCCCTTTCCCTCTTGCCTTTCCAAACAGTCCACAGGTTCTTTAAAAGAGAAAACCAAGGTCAAGTGGGATGTCAGAAGATCTATTTATTTGCATTGACTTAGAAGGGAAAGTGCCAATGGTGTTGCATTTGGAAGCCCTCATTGTGAGCATGTTAAATCCCAATAACTTGCCATGCAGGGTACCATCTGCTCTTCTATGAGGGGCATGGAGCTAAATATGAACTTGCTGAAAAATTCATGACCAAAATTAAGAGTTGTATAGGCCTCAGGCAGGCTTTCCTGCAACTGCCCTGCATTACCTCAAAAGCTTCCTTTTCCAAAAAAGTTGCCCTGGCAACTCTGCTGGCCCTGCCAGCTGCCTCAACTGCTTTTGCTTTTTAAATTTCAGACACAGAAGGAAGTAATACTGCTCCCTTTGAAGGCTATTTACAATTCCTGCTACAGAGTTTACAACATCTGTTGCAAAACCAGGGTCAGAATAAAGTGATGAAAGACACTAGTCTTTATTAGGCACCATTCTTCTCATGTCCTTTAATTGCCCATTTCTCGTTCTTCAAAGAGAAGTGTTGAAAGGAACCACCTTAAAGGTAATTTAGATGTAGGATTTTCCTTAAGAGGCTTGGAGGGAAGCACAATCAGAGAAAAGTTGCCACAAAAAAGAATCTGTATTTGTTCCTTTATCAAGGTTTTTTTGTTTTGTTATTGTTAAACATATTTTTCTTCTCTGCCTTGCAGGGAAGTTGCCATTCTTTTACCACAGAAACTGGGTTACAGCAAAATCTGGGGACCCCAGAGTTCCCATTAGTTATCAGAGCCCTACTAATCTTGTTCCCTGGCCCTGCTGATAGCAGCCACTTCTTGGTTCCAGGGCAACCCTCCCATTCACCTTCAAATCTCAGCTACAAAATAAGCAAGGAGCACATAACACGAGCAGTCTCTGGGTTCACAAAGCAGTTGCCAGGTAACAGTGGATTAGACAAGAAAGCCAAATGCACCTACAAGGAGCTGCTTTCAGCATGTCAGATCAGGTTGTCAAATCCTGACAACCCCCACTCCCCACGCTAGTGGAGGCTGGAGGTCCAAATCCACTCCTGTTAGCCACCCCTCTCAAACCAAAGTTAAAAGAAACCCACCCCTCCAGTCTTTGTGTCTTCCCCTGCTTCTAACACTGGGACAGTGTTACACATTCCAAAGCATTAAAGCACATGGATATTTCAAGGGGTGGAGACCTCTGGAGCATAGGCTGGGGTTGTGTCTTAAAGGCTTCGTTCCCCTATAAAAGCATGGCTGGATTCCTGGCCTTGCTTGCAGCCTTTCTAAACAGCCACAGTAAGGACAAGTTGCAGCAAAGCAGCTTGGCATTTCTCCTCTGAGTGTAGACTTAACTGCTATGGAATGTTTGATCCTTATCAACAGTGCCCAAAATTCAAGCCAGGCTGATACTTGTTCCATATCCATTCATTTGAGTTGGTTGTTAAAAACCAAGGTGCTAAATTCCTACGTAAGCTTTATTTTTATTGTCCTAATAAAATGTTATTACTGCGATGGGGAAAATTCATTTGTGCAAGTCCACACAGTCAGTTTTCTTACTGTCTACTGTATTTTGTGACATTTTAATTCAGTTTTAAAAGCCTATGGACCTTTATATCTTTGTCAATTGCGTGTTGTGTATTATAAACTGTTTTCTAAAGGCACTGAATAAAGGAAAGTATCCTCCTGACTGAGTGTTTACTGTGGGTCTTTACTAAAATCTTAAATCTGGCCTGAAGCATAAGAACTGGTAACAGTTGCTTCTGGCTATCTATGAAGCATAGAGACCAGCATCTGGGGAGGATCCAGGGCTCCAGTGTTGAAAGCTAGGACTCCTAAGCCATAAGACTTGCTGCGTCTTTTAAATAACCAAAAAAAAGCATTGTAAAGTAGAACTGCAGACATGTCCAACAAGCTTAGAAATACATACAGGCTGCTGCTTGAAATTTCTCTGCTTATGTTCTGACCTACTTTCCTTTCAAATCGTGCTTCTCCAGTGGGCATCCTGAAGGGATCGTGTGAGTCAGCTCCACTTAAAAAAATGGCTTGAAAAGAAATGCTTGAGTTTTGTGAAAGAGGAGCACTGAAACCTTAAATCTGGCCTGGAGCATAATTCATTAATCAAAATGCAAGCTCTTGCTTTCTAATGAAGAAGATTGGATTGCCTGGTTCACTTTGGTCCCATGTCGGTACTTTCCTGAATGTAAGGGCATTTTTTTTAAGCCTGGTAATTTCATTCTTTGACATGTGTTTTCTGAGTGTGGCAGCTTACAATCACCAGAATGCAAAAAAATGCAAGAAGTATCTCTGTTTTCCTATAAAGGGAAAACAAAAATGTGCCTTGCATTATTATGAGTCATTATCACAGTATATTAACCAGTATCAACATTAAAAAGTGCCTTAGTCTCACTTGCTCTTGGTGATTGGCAAATTTACACGACAGAACTAAGAACATACATGTTTAAAAGCAAATTCATATGATCATAAAATTAAGTGCCCAATTGCAATATTGGTAAATATTATTTCAGCATAACTTGGCTCAAGAAATGGGGAGAACTGTAGCTGCCAGAAAAGTCAACTACACCAAAGTTGCATTTGAAACCAAGCAAGCTTTTCTCTGAGCTTCTGCAGAGATCCAATATTGTGAAGATAGGGTTGCATTGACTTTGATAAGTGCTGATTGTTATGAGAGGTGCACTGGTCTCATGTCAATGGAGATCTTGCAGGAAAATCCATCTCCATGTACGTACACAGATGGTAGCGTTTCTCAGGCTTTGGAACTAGCCAGTTCTGGGCTTCCCTCCTTGTCCGAGTTCTCCTCTTCAACTGGGCTGCAGAGTTCATTGGCTGGTGTGGTCTCTTCTTGGGGTGTTTTGCAAGCATTGTGCCTTGCCATCATGTACACATGATGTACAAATGACAAAAGATACAGTGTGGTCAGAACAGTGAAGTAAGCAAAGTAAACGTAGAACTGGAAGAGAAGAAAATGCACAAGTATTTTGAGAAATACAGGGCTTCATTAACCTCAATGCACTAAAAAAAATGAAAGCATCAATCCACCTAAGAATTGAAAAAACTTTAGAAATGGACCTTTAAATGAATAATAGTACAGGTATTCCTTGACTCATGACAATGGAGTCCAAAATGTCTGTTAAGTGAGACATTTGTTAAGGGAGTTTTGCCCCATTTTACACCTTTTTAGCGAATCATTGCAGTTATTATTGACACGCTGGTTAAGTGAATCTGGTTTCCCCATTGACTTTGCTTGTCAGAAAACTATTCACATGATTTAGGACAACTGTCCTAAATATGAACCAGTTGCCAAGCATTTGAATTTTGATCATGGTGATGCTGCAACAGTCTTAAGCATGAGGAATGGTCGTAAGTCACTTTTTTCAGTGCCTTCATGGCATTGAACAGTCACTCAACAAACTATTCTAAGTCAAGGACTACCTGTAAAAGGGCCTTGAAATTGGATCAGCTCAATAGAGCCATTCAGTATAGCATCTTACTGTCCACAGTGGTCATCCAGAGAGCTCTTGAAAATTCTATTTCCCCGCCTGCGATAAGCCTTGTTATTTTTGAGCCATAACCTACAGTGCCTGAACACAAACACTGGTCCTACCTAACCATCAGCAGTCAGACCTAACCTGACTGCTGAACACTTGGGAGAAGAAAGAGAGACAGGCAGAGGAATCTTGCCACCTCAATGGGAATGACGTGGAGAATTGGAAGTGAACAAAATAAGTACATCGGCTCTTCTTCTTAGCTCAGAATTAGTTTAGCTTTAAGTAGCCCAACCAACCTAAATGGAAAAGAGTCCCACTGTGAAGAATTATCTATCTCCATGCAAGCTTGTTGGTCGGGGCAACCACAACAGGCAAGGCAAAGCCTTCCTGATAGGCAGTTTCCACTGAACAAAGAGCAGCTAACATAACTGTAGGGTAACTTGCTCTTTTCCTTACCTGGGAATGGACTGAGAGAGCCAGACCATTCTTATCAGTTATGATGATAGTGATGATGGTTTTGAGAACTGTGGCAAGGAAAGTATTGACACCAAACACCAGAGCGCAGAGTTCTTTGGACAGCGAAGATGCAATCTGGAAGCTTCAGTCAGAGAAAGAAAACAAATTAGCTTTCCACCACTACAAAATATCCTGAGCAGAAAGAAGAGACACTTCATGGCTGAGCTTTTGGCTGGATTCTGCTGATTGGCTGAAACCTCCTTGCCAATGAGGGTCAGTCACCCACAATTGCTACCATCAGTTTTATTTAAAATCTCAAAATGATATTTATACTATATACGCCAACAAACTCTGCAGGATTACAGCCAACCCATCTGAGGACAGCAAACTAGGGAAGAGTATGCTACAGCAACACTACTGCTATAAATTTGAGGGGGAGAGGCTCTTAGAAAAAAAACCCTGAAAAATAAGATCTTTAGAAGGCAAACTTATTTGTCATCACCATTAGCAAACTATTTTCAGATTAGGTGCATGAACCCATTGGACTAGTAGGATAGTAAGAACACCTGATCCAATATTTTCCAGTTTTAATATCCTTACAAAAGTCCTGCATTATCCTGGAATATTGCACTGTGTTTGGATCCCGCTCCGCACACTCTGCACATGTTATGTGTGCAAGCATGTAACTTTACAGACACGTAAACGATAGCTCTCACACCAGTGCTGAACTGGTTTCCTGGGTTGACGGAAGCTCTTTATATCCATTTTACCAGTATACCTAATGCAAGTTTAGCTGTCAGTTCTCACCACCATCACTCACATGGCTATAGGCACAAGAAACTGGTAGGAGCCCCTGAAGAGGACATAGGCCGCATAGCACAGCCAAATATTGGTAGTTGTGTTCATCAACAACAGTAGGCTTGCCTGGGCTCCGGTCACAACCCCAATCACCAGTTTTGACCAGAAGGCCCATCGGATCTTCACAAAGCCAGCAGAAAAAGCAGTGATGGCACCTAGGAAAACACAAATTATTGTCAAGAGGAGACAAGTCCTTTACAGTTAAACAGGGCTCTAGTTTTTTATGCAGTATTCTACCAAGGGATGAAGTACATATATGCCCCCTCAAGTATCCCATGGGGAGAAAAATATCTTCAAAACAGAATTTGGCAACTTTCTGGTTTACTGGAATGCGAGACTCTTAGCAATCTAATTGTTCTGCACCCCTTCATTATGTCTGACACATATATTGACTACATATAGGCTATTCTAGGAGGCTGCCTCATTTTGAATAGCATATAGGTAGTAGATTTTGTCCAAGGCCAGAGATATGATGAATCAAAGTGAATGCACCCAGACTCACATGGATTTTAGGATGGTGTAAATTAATTTGGGGTGGGGGGGGTGTAGGAATAAAGTTGCAAATTTAAGAAGATATTATAATTGCAGCAGAGTGAAATAATATAAAAAGAAATATCTTCTCAGGGAAATATCTGAGTTCTTCTTATAAGGTGTTCATCACTTCTTCCAATGGTGTTTTCTTCTTGCTGGAAGTGATGCTTCCCTATCTTTTTGACTTAGATGACATGAACTGAGCCTGTGAGTTCTGCCATTCATTTTACAAACTTGGCAAACTTGGCTAATAAGATTTGACCAACCAAAAGCACGCTCACTGGGGGCCTAGCACCTTGGCTATGTTTCCTTACAACTTTCTATGTAAGGTGACTAACACAGGTCATATCATCATTCCCAAATGACTTTTACAACAACAGCTGTAGATTTCTTAGTTCTATAAGAATGGGAATCCAATAATTATAGAGTATCCATGATGACCTTAGTATGAATAACAGAAACTGCCTTTGCATGAAGCTGCTTAGGGCAGTGGAGATGGATAGTCTACTTCAGGTGTGTCAAACTTGATTTCATTGAGGGATGCCTCAGGGTTGTATTTGACCTTGAAGGGGCTGGGGGGGAGGCATGGCTGGGGAGCCGGGCATGGTCAGCTCAACATCACTCATGTCAGGGGCACCTGTGGTGGCTGGGGATCCATTGTCTCCAGTGGAGGAATTTCTCAACACCTCCTTGCCTTGTGATCAAATGCACTTTTACTAGTAGTTTGTTTTGCTAACCCTCTGCCATCAAAAACAGAACTCTGGAGGGGCGAGCGTGATCCCCCTGTGTTCTGTTTTCATCTGCGACAGCCTCCTGCGGCCCTCTGCCAGTGAAAACGGAGCTTGTGGGGGGCATGCACAGCCCTCTTGTGCTCCGTTTTTGCTGACAGAGGCCCTGTGGGCTGGTCCTTCATTGTTTTCAGGCCAGCCCGCAGGCCAAATCTAATCCGAATCCGGCCTCCAGGCCTTGAGTTTGATACCCCTGATCTACTTCATTATTACTGGAGCTCCTGATTAGTCCTTGTTGGGGGCATAGCAGACCAATAAGATAAATACAAAAAACACAACTTCAGAGGAAAAGAAATATTCATATATACCAAGCAGGGTAGAAACAGCTTCCACTCCACCATTGTAGACCTTTCTGTTGTCCGTGGCAGGATATATTTCATTCCATAAAATATGCACATAATAAAGCATCAGATAATAGCCAGCAGAATTGAATATCCACCAAAGGGACCAAAGTCTTAGCTGCGGCATTCTTACAATAGTCCCCAACTCCTTTATCAGCCGGAATAACAGCAGATTTTTCCAGGAAGAAGCCTTATACCACATGGGCTCTCCTGCCTCAGGGTTCATTTTGTCCAGTTCTGAGGGCGAGGTACCATTACACAAGCTCTTGCTCCTGTTGAAGAAGAGGCTGCGTTTCGGACGCTTCAGGAAGAGGGTCAAGACCAACCCAAAGCACATGAAGCCCAATGAGATATAATTCACTGTCATGAAGGTGGTGCCTCCAACTGTGACACAGAGTTGTCCCACCATGGAACTGGTGAAGACACCCATCAGCACTGAAGACCGGGAATAACTGGCCATGCGCTGATAGCACGATGGAGAGACCAGGTTGAAGATGTAGGAGGAGTAAGCTATCCGCGTGGCCATCGTGATGCCATAGAAGAATTCCATGAACTGCATGGCAATGATGCTGGTACCAAAGATCAGCAGCAGCCAGATAGCAATGTGACTTAAGCTCTGCAGCACCAATATGGGCTTATACCGCAGATAGTCTGTGAGTAGAAAGATGGGCACCAATACTGCCATGTAGGAATATGATAGGACAGGGGTAATTTCATTGGTCACCTGCAAGAGAAAATGAAACGAAGTGCAACTGATTTACGCTAGCGAGTAAACCAAAGGGATAAAGAACTCGAGAAGAAGCCACATGTATTTTCACCTCACCTCACCTGTATTCTAATCATCTAGGATTCTAGGTCCTCTTTTTACTAATAATTTGGGTGCTTCTTCTTCACATTCTTTTTTCAGCAACAGGCACCAAGACTTATTTTAGATACTAGCCATCCTATGTTTAGGAAACTGGAAACAAAACTATACATGAAGAACCAGCTGATTCAGGGACACCAGGGTTGGGCCTGGAGTATCCATAAGAGAAAGAAACCTCCAGCAATATACTTGATGGAATTCTGGGTGAATGGAAATACATTGATCACTGATTGGGCAGGACTGAAAGGAAAGAAAAACAGACTCACAACTAATACAAACTAAAACTATCAAACGTTACCTAGCTAGATTATGTCCTGGTTCATCAGACAAACTATTTTTTATCAAAATTCCTAGGGATGAAATGGAGTTGTCCAGAATGGGAAATAAAATAACAGCATGTAGCTTACAAAAGAAGACAAAGCGCCTTCATCAAGAAAGGACCATGGTGGCTGAAAGGGAGAGAGGAAAAAATCTCCATTCACATGTTATAGTTATTTGGAAGAACACCCCCTCCCCCAATTTATGGAAATACAACGTATAGGAAAACTGAAACCTGCTTTACACCAAACCAGCTGGCTGGTAATATTTCTTTGATATTTCAGACTGGAATTTTTCACAATATTTTAGTGTCTTACACACACATACACACACATATACACATACATACACATCCCCTAGTTTTTCCAACAGTCACTCTGAGATCTCCGCTCTGGTTGAAATCCACATGTATTGCTTGCCAAGGAGGTTGATTAAGTTTCTTACAGTTGCTTTAGACTGGAATTTGACGTGTTTTAGCCATGGCAACAGATCAGCATGAGACTCTGAACTTTGGCCAGACTGAGTTACATTTAGTGCTGACCAACCTTCTCCCCTAAATTTCCCACAGACAGGAGAATGGAAACACAGAGAATATGAAATTTCAATGACAAGAATGCCAAAGGTTTTGATTCAGGAGATCTGACCATCCTGTCATTTTTAGAAAAATAGAAGTCCGTAGTATTCCCCAGCCTGATATCTCCCAAAGGAGAGATATCTTGCTTCCTTAAAATTTGGGGAGCTGAAGCTCAACTTTCTGGCCTACCCCAGGGGGAAGGATGGAACGCAAGAATATACTTCAGGAAGGATGAATAATTCCTTTTCTGTAACTCAAAGTATTATCAGCCCTGTTAACATGAGTTCACTACAACTTGGCATCTGTTCACTACAGCTTGGCATCATTTCTCTCTCTTCTATCTTCAAAGGATGTCTGTCAACTTGAGCAATTTATTCTGGTCAAGGAGTTTGGGATATTTTATCAAAAGTAGCTGGGAACACAGTTTACAAATGGAATTCATGCGGAATATACGATGCCATCTCTATATCTATACTTCTAGATCAGGGATGGACAACCTGAGCTCCAGGGATCAGTTGACATATGGATTGATTGATTTGCAGGACTGGAGCCCCTTTGAACCACAGCTGCTGAAGATCAGTGACATGATTTGCTGAGGTAAGGAACATGCAAATACTGTAGCATAAACCCTAGAATTTAGGCTTAAATTTAGTGAGAAGTGCACCCTCCCCAACTGCCTCCCACAAAGTTAGACAAAACACAGATAATACATCAGCTCCATTAATAGAATAGAAGAAGAATAGAATTCTTTATTGGCCAAATGTGATTGGACACACAAGGAATTTGTCTTGGTGCAAATGCTCTCTGTGTACATAAAAGAAAAGATACATTTGTCAAGAGTCAAGAATCATCAGGTACAACACTTAATAATAGTCATAGAGTACAATAAGTAATCAAATCACACTAGGAAACAGTCGATATAAATCGTAAGGATACAAGAAACAAAGTTACAGTCATATGGTCACAAGTGGGAGGGGATGGGTGATGAGTGATGAGAAGATTAATACTAATAGTAATGCAGACTTTGTAAATAGTTGGACAGTGTTTATTTATTTATTTATTGCTTTTTATTATTATTTATTAAGATTATTAAGGCAGTGTTGAGGGAATTGTTTGTTAAGCAGAGTTATGACATTTGGGGAAAAACTGTCCTTGTATTTAGTTGTTCTGGTGTGCAGTGCTCTATAGCGTCGTTTTGAGGGAAGGAGTTGAAACAGTTTATGTTCAGGAAGTGAGGGGTCTGTAAATATTTTCACAGCCCTCTTTTTGACTCGTGCAGTATACAGGTCCTCAGTTGAAGGCAGGTTGGTAGTAATTGTTTTTTCTGCATTCCTAATTAGTTCTTATAACTATAGTTCTAGTATATATAATAGCTAGTATATACAGTATAATAGCTATAGTTCTGCTACTGTGGTACCTAGATTCCTCAGAAATAATGAAGTCCTGCACCCCACAAAATATTACCCTTCATGAGATTCCTGTTTCCAACTTTTAGCATCTTATTCAGCTGTGAATTTTCTCTGATAATTCCATCTGCAAATGCTTTCTCCTATGGTATACCTATTGAGACATTCATCCTGATGCCTTTTTAATATCAGACCAGCCCATTTCTCTTACAGAATAATTTTGTTAACTACAGGTAGCCCTTGACTTATGACCACAATTGAGCCCAACATTTCTGTTGTTAAGTGAGTTTTGCCCCATTTTATGACTTTTCTTGCCACCATTGTTAATTGAATTATTGCTATAAGTTAGCACCCTGGTTGTTAAGTGAATCTGTCTTCCCCATTGACTTTGGGGGTCCCATGACCCTAGGACCCTGCAACCATCATAAGTATGAACCAGTTGCCAAGCATCTGAATATTAGTCATGTGATCATGCGGATACTGCAAAGGTTGTAACTGTGAAAAACGGTCATAAGTCACATTTCTCACTGCTATTTTAACTTTGAACAGTCACTGAATAACTGTTGTAAGTTGTAGTTTATTAATTTAGTTAGTACTTGCAATACTGTGTGTCAGGGAACAGTTATTCTTTGGGTTTTTATATTGGCTGTTTTTAATGTTTTAGTTGGTTGGGTTTTAATGTGATTTTATATGTCTTTGTTTTTAATGGAGAGCTGCCTAGATTAAAGTGAAAATTCTACCCCACAACTCTCCACCCATTAATAGCAATAGCACTTAAAACTTACATACGCCTCACAGTACTTTTACAGCCCTCTCTAAGCGATTTACAGAGTCAGCATATTGGTCCCAACTATCTGGGTCCTCATTTTCCCGATCTCCGAAGGATGGATGGCTGAGTCAACCTTGAGCCTGGTGAGATTCGAACTGCCAAATTGCAGGCAGCCAGCAGTTAGCAGAAGTAGCCCGCAGTACTGCACTCTAACCACTGTGCCACCTCGGCTCTTTTGTGATACACAGCACTACAAAAAAGAAAGGTTTCCATAAATCAGGAGTGATTCCTTCCCCCCCACCCCACCCCAAAACACACATCTAAATCTGCTCTCAGCATGTGAAGAAGCTGCCATGTACTAATTGATAACCTAGGGTGCTGAGCGTTCCCTCATCCAAAAGGCACAGCAGTCAGGCAGAACAAAGTGTTTGGGAACAGATTGCCTGTGTGTGTGTGATTGTTTTTTGCCCAAATGACAAGAGCTGCCAATGTCCCAGAGAGACCTAGCAAGGGATCAGAGAGAAAATAGATCTTGCTCATTACTAAAAGAAGATCAAGTGTTCAAATAGAAACTTAATGAAACCAGAGCAGCAGGTCACAGCCACCTCTGCACAGCTATTGCAAAAGTCCACCTTTGGGGAAGGCAGCTAATTCCTCATTCTAAGCTTTCAGTTCTTTAAAATTACTAAATAGAGAAATGCATACAAGTGTTTTATTTTTTTCTTTTTCTTGTAAATAAACAAACCAGTAGTTTATTAGCTAGTTGAGAGATTGGTCAATGGATTCTTAAGCAAATAGCCTAGAAATAAATATTAATCTGTATTTAGAATGTTTTTTTTTTAAAAAAAAATCCCTGGGACCTCAATCATTTTTACCATAGATATATTTATATTTCTATAAAAATAGTTATATCCACCTTTCTACTTAAAAATAAGTGGAACAGTACAGTATGTTACTGTATCAAAATCAGTATCTCATCATCAAAAATCAGTATCTCATTAGAATAGCAATAGCACGTAGACTTATGTACCGCTTTATAGTGCTTTTACAGCCCTCTCTAAGCAGTTTACAGAGTCAGCATATTGCCCCCAACAATTTGAGTCCTCATTTTACTGAACTCAGAAGGATGGAAGGCTGAGCCAACCTTGAGCCTGGTGAGATTTGAACTGCCAAATTGCAGACAGCCGGCAGTCAGCAGAAGTAGCCTGCAGTACTGCACTCTAACCACTACACCACCTCGGCTCTTTTATGATATACAGCACTACAAAAAACAGAGGTTTCATATTTAAGACTTTACAGTGCTTTACAGCCCTCTCTAAGTGATTTACAGTGTCAACACATTGCCCCCAACAATCTGGGTCCTCATTTCACCAACCTTGGTAAATGTTAAATGCAGTCTTTGGTCAGCTTGATTTTACTCAATCCATGGAATCAGCTGGGAATAATCATTCATTTGATAAAGGTGACAATGTGATACTCAAAATTTATCCTACCCTCAGCTCATCAACAGAGTCAACATCACAGTTTGGAATGGGATGAAGGAGCTCCAAGCAAGCTGGAGAAGCTGTTAATTGGCTTCACTAAATTTAGGAGATCACCTGTAATTGTAGATCACCTGTAATTGGCAGAAAGTATTAAATGAGGCAGAGCTGCTACAGAATAATCATGGAGTCCCTTCTACAAAAAAGAGAAACAGGCAAGAAAATGGTAAAGGAAAAGAACAAAATAACCCCAAAAGAGAAGGAAAATGGTTTATTTTTGGTATTTTTAAGGGTACTAATATGTGCCATATACCTTCACCACAACCAAGATCATATCATGAAGCACAGCCTTCCCAAAGTGTGTCCTCCAGATGCACTGCACAACTCCAAACATAACTCATCTTGGGTAAGAATGATGAGAACTGTAGCCCAATTAATCTGGAAGGATCCAGAATGGAAAGGAAAGAACAGTCATAGAAGTTGACTCAAGCAATCGGATTAGGCATTTACTTTGCTAGCTTGCATTGTCAAACTATTTGCTAAATCAGAAGTTAAAATGTAAGTCTCCACATCAGATTTATGAGGGCAACAGACAGCAGGTCAGGCTGAGATTCCTTTCAGTTTTATTTTAACTGGGGGAAAAGGCAGGTCATCCCACTGCTTTATTATTCCAAAGTAAGTTTTAATAACTACCATTACTGCATTAATATGTTGGAGCAGAATGCAAGCTTACCCATACATTTTCTAATTTAACTCAGAAGCAAGCTAGCTCTGTGGAATTATCTTCCCATCTCAGCCCTTATTCTGGCCTTTAGAAGGTCTATGTAGGTCTGTTTGTTCCTAACCCAATCATCCCTCTATGCTCCATGAGCCCATGATCCAAGAGCCAAATAAAAAGGAGGAAAAATGAGAGAGTATCATTCTTTCCATGCACTGTTGCAACATACTCTTTCCTCCCTCCACTTTAACAGAGCCATTCCTACCATTTTGTCAAAACCTATTGCTGCTCAGAAGGTCTTCTGTAAGACCACTCAACACTCCACACTTCAGTGCATTTTTCAGACCACTGCAACTAATTTGTCCCTTGTGTGGCTAATATGTCAAATGACCTCACCTCTTTCTTTGTGAAATTCTTCTCCGATCCCAACAGGTAAGGCGTGATGAAACTCTCTCCAGGTCTAATCTGGCCCATGAAGCCATAGAAACAGAGGTAGCCAACAAGGAACTTCCAGCGTGGGTCTGGTGGAGGTTCAGGAGGCTGTTTTTCCATTTTTTCAGCCTCTTCAGACATAACTCCCTGGTAGCTTCTTGATCACTTTGAAAAGGAACACATTCTTTTCAGTGAAAGTCACAATGCTGGATTTACTGTTTGTTCAGTTTCTCTTTTCACCGCTGTGTACAAACTCCAACATGCAGAGGTATGCCTTGCTGGAATTTCTGTTAAAAAAAAAAAGGAGAGAAGGTGGTACCCCAGAAAATTTCCTGGTGAGAACATCACAAACTAATCCCCACCTTCATCTTGCCAGGAATGTGTTGGCTTTGCAATATTTCCTGAACAAAATTGTGCTCAGTTTCCACAAATGTCTTGTATGGTCCAGCAAATATTTACTTGATACTAGTCACCAATACAGTGGAATGTTTCAGGTCAGCCAGATCAGAAATTTTTTTAAAAGGTTTTTTTTTTAGGGAAATTGGGGAATCCAAATAAAGAAACATGGAACACTGTAGTGAAGCAAAGTTTATTCAGCTGGATTGATGTCTTTATAAATAATGTTAATATCATTTCTTCATCTGCTACATTTAAGTTTTGTCAGTGAAACACACTTTCACTTCACGTCTGTAGGACAGACTAGGAGGGTTCCTCGCAGTGGAGGAATGAGTCGAATTACACATAAATTCAACAATACAATACAGAATAGCATTCTGTTATACTAAATTCTGACCATAGTATTGTAAAGGTTCCCTTTGCACATATGTGCTAGTCGTTTCCAGCTCTAGAGGGCGGTGCTCATCTCCGTTACAAAGCCGAAGAGCCAGCGCTGTCCAAAGACATCTCCATGGTCATGTGGCCAGCATGACTAAACACCTACGGTGCCCAGAATGCTGTTACCTTCCCACCAAAGTGGTCCCTATTTTTCTACTTGCATTTTTACATGCTTTCGAACTGCTAGGTTGGCAGAAACTGAGACAAGCAACGGGAGCTCCCTCAGTTATGCGGTGCTAGGGATTCGAACCACAAACTGCCGACCTTTCTGATCGACAAGCTCAGCATCTTAGCCACTGAGCCACCGCATCCCAAGTATTATACTAATTACCAATTTAGAAAGTACAAATACTCCTTCAAGTCAACTTTGGCATCTTGCGATTTCATGTTCATATCTACACTTTTCTTACCAATGCAGAAATATTTTTCTGTCGGCTTTTTTGTGTGTTTGTTTCAATTTTCCAGTCTAGCTTACATTGTTGGGATATCCTGGTAGTTTCTCACCTATATTCTGCCTAATCTTGAAACTCAAGGAAAGTCAGCTGTGAACATTGGTAATTAGCAAGAACTTCTCATTTTGTTCATTCATCCAGTTTTATCTCAGTTGAATCTTATTCTAGTTAGGGTGTTGTAATGCCCTGAGTATAAAAGTGTCTTTTAAGGTTAACTGGAACTTTCAATCATATCACATGGCTACAAAGAAGCTCTCACTAGCATCCAGGACAACAAGCCTCCCAAGACAATAGTTGCTTAATGGTCAAGGAGAAATTCCAGTTTCTGTTAAAGACAAGAAAGGATTGGATAAACATTACTAAGTGATATGGACCAATGATTTAACTCAATAAAAGACAGCTTCCTATTTTCTTAAGAGTTGCACTGGCAACTGCAATGTGTTGAATGGTCTATATTTCACTTCAGATAAGGCACCTTCCCAGTACAATTTATAGCATCATCTAAAAGAGTATTTTTTTAAAAATATTTTGCTCTTAGGATCCCTGCCCATTTAAAAAAAATTATAGAGGATTCTAAAAGAGCTTTTGCTTGTGTGGCTTATATTGGTCACTATTTATCATATTAACAATTGACACAGTCATAGAATATTTATTGAATCATGTAAAAATAATATTAAGCCCGTTCTATATTAACATAAATAAAATACTTTTTATGAAAAGCCTTATTTTTAATAAATTAAAATAGAGGAGAGTGATGTTAATTTAAAAGTTTGTAAATATCTTTAATATCTTACAAATAATTTTGATTTCAAAGACCCCTGAAATGGTCTTGGGGGATCCTCAAGGTTACTTGGATCACATTTTAAGAAATACTGTCCTAGAGTCATCCATTTATCATTGCCCAAAATAACAGCAAGGGCATGCTTTCTATTATTTCAACAAGGGCTGGTTGATAGTTTGATGAGATTACAAGTGACTAGTAGGAAAATAGCTTGAAACCTGGTACAAGAATGGCCTGAATAGTCAAAATCACACACTCAGGGAAGTTTTTAATTATCATCACAGGAACCCCCAAAGCTTGCAATTATTATGTTTCAGTTACTCAGAAATATTCAGTTTTACAGATTTTAGTCTTAAGCTATATGAATAAAAAGAAGAAAAATCCCTGCTGTCACAAGCAGAATGTATTTGCATCTATAATTTAAAAAAAGACTGAAAAATAGAAAACAAGATTTATCTGCAGCTCAGAGTTCTACATACACTTTCACTGAATAGATTGTCAAGAGTAGCTGTCCATCTTATCCATGCCGATTCAGAAATTAAGCCCTGTTCTGCTCAAGAAGGCTTACCAATAATTAATGGATATGGGACTACAATATGTGTTAATTTACCTTCCCTGTTTTTGACAATATAATGACACAATTTGAAATGTAATAACATGTACTGGCTGGCAGAAGTGAGATGACTAATGTACACACTCTCTTATTCTCTGCCTATTTTTGCAATCTGTTTTAGTGTTATGGAATGGGTTTGGGGTTCCTCCAACAAGGAAAAACAAGTCACCAAACTTTGTACAGTGTTTAAACCAGTGGTCTCCAACCAGTGGACCGGGGACCACTGGTGGTCTGCGAGAAAATTTTGGTGGTCTGCAGAGAAATGTCAACCCCAAAACGCCCCCAAAGCAATTATTCCAGGCTGCATGGGAATACAAGGCTGCACCACCCACATGGTCCGTGAGAACACAAGGCTTGCATCGCTTGCATTGTGAACAACACGAGGTAGTAAAGGGAGGGGGAAAAGGGCGGAGAGGGGGAACTTGCCCCACGCACCTCGCTTGGCCACCAAGCTGCTTCTTTCCACTTCTTTCTTCTTCTGCTTTTGGCTGCACACAAGGAAAGCAGCAAAAATCTTTCTTTCTCTCCCCCAAACTCCACCAGAAATGAGTCTTTGGGACCCTGCAAGACATCCTGCTCCAAGAGGCTGCATCAGCAAAGACTCATTTCTGGTGGAATTTGGGGCAGAGAAAGAAAGACTTTTGCTGCTTCTGCTGCTTCTCTCTCTCTCTTTCTCTCCCCTCCCCATAGAGGATTACTCAGAGGTAAGTCCCACTGAGTTCTGTGAGGATCAGAGATGGTATTCAGCAGGTTCTGACCAGTTCTGGAGAACCGGTAGCAGAAATTTCGAGTAGTTCAGAGAACCGGCAAATAACACCTCTGACTGGAGATTTTACAGTATCCTTCCCCTGCCATGCAAACCAAGTCATGCCCACAGAACCAGTAGTAAAATTTTTTGAATCCTACCACTGGTGAGGATGTAGGCAGAGACCAAGAACTGCGGCGTCATGGGTACAGATAACAGAATAACAGAGTTGGAAGGGACCGTGGAGTTCTTCTAGTCCAGTGGTCACTAAACAGTGGGCAGGGGACCACTGGTGGTCCATGAGAAAATTTTGGTGGTCCACAGAGAAATGTCACCCCCAAAGCAATTAATCCAGGCTGCGCCACCCACATGGCCCACGGGAACACAGGCCTTGTGTCGCTTGCATTGTGAACAACATGAGGTAGTAAGGAGAGTGGGGGAAAGGTGGAGGGGGGGAACTTGCCCCACATGCCCCACTTGCCTTGCCTGGCCACCGGGCTGCTTCTTGCCCCTTCTTTCTTCTTCTGCTTTTGGCTGCACACAAGGAGAGCAGCAAAAGTCTTTCTTTCTCTCCCACAAACTCTGCCAGAAATGAGTCTTTGGGACTCTGCAAGGCCTCCTATTCCAAGAGGCTGCACCAGCGTGACAAGTCTCACAAAGACTCATTTCTGGCAGAGTTTTGGGCGGAGAAAGAAAGACTTCTGCTGCTTCTGCTGCTTTCCTTGCATGAAGCCAAAAGTCTCTCTCTCTCTCCCCCTAAGAACGGAGCTGGAGATGGTATCTTGCGATCCCAAATAAAGAATGATTGATCGGTAGGAAAACGGGGAAGGGAATTTTCCTGCAGACTTTTTTGAGGATTTTCCCAGGGTCTCTGGTCTGCAGAATTTAAAATTATGAGTTTGGGGGACCCTGAGGTCCAAAAGGTTGGCAACCGCTGGCTTGAACCATCCTACAACACTAAGTTATATATGAAAGTTGTACAGTAAATGAAAAATGATCCCTTCATTGCAGAATTGATGCTACCAGTTTGCTGCTGTTATGGTCCAACCATCAGACAGAGAACTACTCTACACACATGGTTAAAAAAGGCAGGGCAGATGAATGTCACACAGATTTACTAACAAGCTGTTGTTCAAATATAACTCTTAAAAGATCCATATTCTAATTGGATCCCACCTTCAACCTCCTCTAGATTGAATTACATTAATTCATACAATAGTTACTCTATTTTGCCTTTTGTTTAGCTTTTACCCATTTGCAGAAAAGCTAGTCTCAGTTATTACCATCTCCTTCAGAGACATCTTAACTTATCTCTTAAGGAAAAAAACATGAAGTACAAAACACATGGAGACTTCTAGGAAGCAATTACTAATATACTAGTTTTAGTTCTCTCTACTACCAGTCTTTAAAGCCTCATTTGTTGCCCCTTTCCATTTCCTAAAAGACCGCTTTTGACCTCGCTAGAAGGAGAGCGTTTATGGTTTCACAAAGGTTTCAGTCATTCCAGGAGCCACTCAACCAGTCTTTTCCAGTCTCTCTCCAAAAGTCATGGAAAATGAATAGATAAGTTCATTATATATCTCTGGTAAGATCGTTATAATGTGCTCAAGATCTAAAGAATCAACAAAGCTTTACATATCCCCCAAAATTACCCCACTCTTCAAGTATATTAGCAACCCCCTCCTCCAATCCTAGAAAGTCAAATTTAAAAAGCCAGAAGAACTCCCTTTATAAAAAGAAACTATCGGATACCACCTCCTAAAATTCTGAAATCCAGAGAAGTTAGATTTTCTCACTACTGCTACATATTAACTGCATTTAGCCAAAGAACTGTCTAAAAAGAAAAGTGGCAGACTCGATTT